CCATCCACCTTTATTCTTTTCTTTACAATAAGGCTTTCAAATAAGTCGTGGCTGTACGGCAGTGAAGCATTGGTGTTGAGCACTGATGTCATGCTGTCGTTGATGATGATGATGATGAGGCGGCTTGGACAACAAATTCCAAAAGTTGTAAAACCTGGGCGATGTAAATCATCTTTTCAAAAGTCGTGGGTTAAAGCAGCCTGTCATTGCTGTGAACCCCATGATTGAGTGAAGACTTCCCGCACAATGCTACTTACTCATGCTACTGACCGTTACCGAAAGATACAATGTTGAGCCACCTACCTGAAAATCGTGGTTTCCAAACCCAGCAGCGATAAGCAAGACGAGTGGTACTAGGGAATCCACTCGAGGATGATATAAAGCTCTCCTGGACTTTCCATTTTGAGATTACCTACATGGTAAGATGCAGATATCAACAGATTCATGAGCATGTTGACTAGAACACCAATTCATCAGCAACCCACCTAATGGTCGGCAACCAGACGACCCTCAAGTCAGAACGATGTAGGTGGTAACTAGAGGGTTATGTGATCGATCCACGTACTCCCAGCTGATGAGGTGCAATCAGGCAGATTGAAGAAATGACGTCATCTCTGTTAGGGGCAATCGTTTGGACTCCAACATGGAATTATTCAGTTCCGGTCCAAGCTTTCGCGTTACCTATCAGCTGTATACTCCACATACATATGTGTTGCAATCCATTCTGTCTTGCAGAAAAGCTTTTCGGGGACAAATTGAGGTGAAGGCAAGCTTCAGGCTGAACTCCGTCTCCAATCGGAAAGTAAGGCTTCGGGAGTAAGGCCTCTCGGAAGCCAAGAGGCAGAGGCCGGGTTTTAACCACGGACCTTCCGGTCAGTAAATTCGCACTCTAACTCCATGGGTCATCTCGCAGTGAACAAGCCCTCAGATAAAACATTTCGGGCTTTCTCCTCGTGAGTTATGAATGACTCTGAGCTACCGATTGTCCGGTCTGCTACATACAATCAGTAAAGCAGTTCGACTGGGGCCGCTGTGCAACATTCGGTTGGAAATGAATCGATTCCCGTGTTCCTGCTTGAGGTCGCCCGTTAGAATCTAACCGTCCGGTTTTTATTAAGAAAGATTTTTAACCCCAGTTTATTTCCATAATTTTACATAGTTGCGAGAAATTTCACCCAGAGTACAACAAGTAGCAGTTCGCACTGTTGTTGTCCCCATAGATCGAACCAACACGCTACATACGAGTCTTTCATTTGTACACGATTGTATTCTACCTGGTTGGCTGGAGCTTCCTTCTGGTTATATTTGTGCTAGATGATAGGCCTTATAAATGAGACCCCACAGACTCTATTGGGCAAAAATGCATTCCAAAGCAATACACACCAATCCACTTCCTGTTTAATTTGCTGATTGATGAGATCATATGGCGGAGTGACAAAACTTCCAAGGTGTCTAAAGCTCGCGCACGAAAAACTGCCGGTTCGGACGCAAAAATTCGGACATCTCCAGTATGTGTTGATAAATTAGTTCGCCTCGTACGTCAGATATCCGGAATTCGAATCCAACAAGGACTGAATATATGCACTACTTATTGGTGCCAGTAGGAGTGAACTCGAGCCAAGTGCCCCCATTTTCGGTTCACACTCACCAGATCAGTTAAGTCGGAACAGGAGGGGTACGGTTCAAAGCGGACTCATGCAAATGCAGACTGAAAGAGGGGCAGTTCATGTGTCGTGTCAGCTCTGACGGTGCTAAATCCCGGATATTGAAAACTTACCTGGCAGTATATGTCACTGGAGGTATACCGCTTGGCTCCAAAACTAGCTCACACCGGACCACCGTTTTCTACGGCTGACACAAGATGCGAAGCCAGGTCATCTGATATCTTCCTGGATTTTGTCTCCAATTCCTTACAACAACCACCAAGACTAGCTACAAAGTGGGGTATTCTAAAAGCGGGATGTGGAAGCGATTGCTACATAGTGTACTGTTGTTGGGGACATGCAGTGGCGGTCTTATCCCAGGCTACACATGCCAAGATATCACGTACTTCCCTCGTGAAAACCAACATTTGCGTTTACGGAATCCTACCGATGATAGATTTCTATTCTGTGTTTTTGCGCTTGAATGAAGACACTAAGTGGAAACACATCTCTGGTACTCTTGCTGCCACTATATATGAATGTATGTATGTATGTATGTATGTATGTAAGTATGTATGTATGTATGTATGTATGTAAGTATGTATGTTATGTATGTATGTATGTTTGTATGTATGTATGTATGTATGTATGTTTGTATGTATGTATGTATGTATGTATGTTTGTATGTATGTATGTATGTATGTATGTTTGTATGTATGTATGTATGTATGTATGTTTGTATGTATGTATGTATGTATGTATGTTTGTATGTATGTATGTATGTATGTATGTTTGTATGTATGTATGTATGTATGTATGTTTGTATGTATGTATGTATGTATGTATGTTTGTATGTATGTATGTATGTATGTATGTTTGTATGTATGTATGTATGTATGTATGTATGTGTAGGCGGTTAGTTGGGGAGGTGGGTATTTAGGCAAGTAGCTAGTTAAATAGGGAAGCATAAGATCGTTTGCCATCCTACTTTGTCGTGACGCTGGACTGTCAGTGGCCTCCGTCATCCTTTAAGTACGTTTTGAAGGTACGAAGGATGAATAAAGGCACCATGAAACTAGCAAGTGTTTAAGCAAATAAAATCCAACTATTCCATCGTCTTCCTTAAAAAGTCTTTATTGAGAAACACTTGGACCATGCAACAACCGTCTATTTGGCATTCTGCAGCTTGTGTCCAGAGGTTTCGTACTTTAAGAAAACGGATCACAGGTTGTTAACTGTAGTTCTCTGAGGAACCTATGAGCTGTGGGCAGACGCGTGACGATTGGGGCATGGTAGAGTACATCAGACGAGAGAACTGTAGTCCATTGGACTTCTGCCGTAATTATATCTTTCCACACAAGAAGGCCTGACCTGAAAGGAGCACTTATTAAGGTCTCTATACACACACACAGTCATGTGAGTGGTATCGTTTAGAGAATCATCATAGTGGTATACCTACACAGTAGAATAGCAACTTATGCCTATTGGCATTAATGAAGGTCACTGCTGCCAGTCAACTGCAGCCTCCACATGGGAAGTTCTTCCACATTCGTTTCTCCAAGTGTACGCATGGCACACGAAGGACACTGAAGGAAGAAGGGATAAAGCGATTATTTACGAAACCGAAAAGTTCCTTACTGAGGAATAGAGCAGGGAATATTGGTTACCTCGAACTATCTGTTGAACACCCTACATACGGTGCCCTGCAGCAGGCCTGATTAATGGGTTGACCTTACATCAGCAGGACCGTGTAGCTTGGGTACAAACACACTGCAGTGCCTCCCAATAAAGATCCATCCTTAAACTCCATGGGCAAAGTGATGCACAGCCATTTTCTGCAACTTTTCTGACTCATACGAGCCTCCCTATTTGACTTCAAATAAGATATGCGGTTCGTATTTGGGAAGATCTAACCGTTGCAACTTTTAGCCGGTAACTTAAAGCGTATTTCGCTAGTAGTCTCTTTGTGGGAATGGACTCCTCTCAGAATAATCCATTTGTTTTGTTCAGTCTCTCAGATGGTCCCTCCGGAAAGGGGCAACTGAAGTTGTCTAACAATGACCGTGGGACGGTACTTGGGACCGAAAAGCCATTTTCCAAGGAAACCTTCACCATCATCATTATCATCGACAGCATTACATCAGTGTTCAACACTGATGCTTCACTGCCTTACTGATTCAAGCGTGTCTGTTCTGGCACGAAGGTGTTCTGGTATGCAAGTTATGTTCGTTATCACCTTCCCCTGGCAGTCATATGTATTGGTTGCCCAACCATGTGAAGAGCCTAATGTATGGTGTACTATTACACATGAAGTACTTGATTGGCAATTAACACGCGAACGAAAAATTTAAACAAATGAGCAGCGGTCTCCGCCTCGTAGCTCTATCAGCTGGATGTGCCACACTGAGTGAAAACAATAGAACTTGTCGAAACAGTTTTTTCTACACTTTCTGACTATTAGGAAAGTTAATCCACATGGTTCACTTTAGTACACAGGAAAGAAGTGAGATATCCTGTTGTCGAGTCCTTTGGGTCAGTACCAGGAAATCCAGATTGCCGAAATCTGCGTTTGCTGAACCTAAAGGATACACAACTCCCATACCAGATGGTGTTCGGATTCCTTACTTTCTCAAAAACTGGACACTTTTAGATCATAGTTGAATCGAAACCGGTAAGTTCCCCAGCCCCCTTTTGATGGGTTTCGCATGTTTTTTCCCATCTAATGGAACAAGGATAAAGGGGTTCCATCGAGGAAGGCGTCAGTATTCAGAGGAGCTTCGTTGGGGACGAAGATGTATTTCGCAAAATGTTTTCTTTGGTGTCTTGAAGACTGACTCAGTGACTGATCATGCTTCAAGGTACCTTTGCAATTCGGCTGTACACTCATGTCATGCTGTCGATGATGATGATGATGATGATGATGAAGAACAAATGTCGTCATCAATCTGCAATTCAAATTCCACCCAATAATTATCGATTTTTATTCAACTAGACCAACAAACTGACAAGTTTTCCATATGGGTCTGTATTTACTCGCGTACTTTTGGGAAATCTGCAAAACTGTGATTGGGTACTTTCCAAAGACTTCCATAATCAAATGTTTGATGGTTTAGGTCGGACCTGAAAAATTGGAAGTTTTCCCTAAAGGTGCTTCGGAATAGCCCATGCCGAACTCGAAAGCTGAGAGAGATGGAAGTAGGTCTATGCACTCTTGAAGTAAATGTTAGATCAGAATTAGCTGTGCAGTCATCTAGTTCCATTTAAACTGATCCCACTAGACTCATTTGCAAACTCATTGGGTTTTTTTCGAGAGACTCACCTGGAGACCAGCTGAATCTCTTTTGTGGTGTTCTCAGGCAAATGAACGTGCTGCACTAGGCCGCCTCATGTTTCAGTTGCTACGATATTCGAGATATCGTGATACATGTACATCTTTGTAATGTACTACTCGGAAACCCGGGAACTGCGCCTACCTGATGA